AGCATTTCAATAATAATCGATTAACGATTTTTATCATACCAAAACAATTTAAAGACTACAAACTATTCGTTAATTGGCTAAAAGTAAATTACTTACATATTAATGGTGTAACTTAAAATTGCACGAACTTAATCATTGCGATCTCTCTCTTGCTCACCAAACGACGACAAAGCGTGAGCGAGATGAAAGATTAGGATTTGTTACACGAACCGACTTAATATCTAATTTTTAACAACACAAAAAAAAAACGTTATCACACAACCCTTGATAAAGAAAAAAAACAATATTACTATAAACCCGAACGAACACTATTTTACTTAAATAGTCAATCAATATCGAAAGATCGATACAATTTACCTGAAAATCACGTATTTAAATAACTCAAATTATAAGACTATAGATTACCATAGAACTATAAGAAATCATTTATTCAAATTATGATTATGTTGAAATATTATTTATCTGCTAATGGCCCGCTTTGAAACGGGTACGGCAGGTCATAGACATCACAACGCAAACCCAGTCGCCAATCGCGAGACAAGAGATCGAAATCTCAATTTATAGAGAAGCTTTAAAAATAAAGTACAGTTGTAGGGAATATTCAACAAAGAAAAAAGAAAAAAAACAAACAAACAAAGCCTTCATTAACGCTTAGAACTAAATTACAGCTAAATGACTTAATGAAAATAAAAATAATTCATAACGCAATGAAAAATAAATCACAATTCACCAGAAACAAAAAAAAACACATACAGTTTTCAATAAAATCGTTCTTAATTTATGTTTATTCTGTTTAAGAGTATTCCGTGACTTCGAAAATACAAACGGATTTAATAGAATCATTTAAAAGTGCTATTAATAATTGTGTGGACGATTGGCTAACTTCGCAGTAAATACTGCTGTTTAACAAACAATATAAATACAAAGATTAGAATAAATACAAATATTTTAACAGAAATCCCCAAACGCTTGAAGGAGGTTACACATGATGCTAAGGCTGGCTGGTACTTTGCACAGAGAGTGAGTCTGGCTGTCCAACGAGGCAACGTGGCCAGTATCTTGGGGACTGTGCCTCCTTCAAGCGCGTTGGAAGATCTGTTCTACTGTGTGGGTTGAGTTATGTAAAATTATTTTGATTTGACTTTTTGTTAATAAACGTCAAGTTCTATTTATAGGTTACGCAGAAATCTTCATTATAGACATTAAATATTTTGTAATACAAAGAATAAAATAGAACCGTGTTTGTTGAAACACGCGATAAACGGAGTATTAAGTAAATTTACATCAGTTCCAACAATGTAAGAACAAAAATGTACGAGCGCCTTTCTCCCGACACAAAAAAATCTTACGTCTGGGTCCATTTTACGAAAATCACAGCGATCCACTTCTTCGCTACCAACCACACAAATAAGCCTTCGCAAATACATTATTGATCTAATCAGAATTTTGACTCGTTGTTATTAATTTGAAAAAACACAGTGCTGGAAAAAAAAGCCACTATATTCATCGAAAAACTGCTAAATTTTCATAGCAGTGAGGTAATTACTAACAGCAGTATTTGAAACTGTGCAGGAAAATATTCTTTAGTAATCTGGATTAAAATCATTATTTTGAAGAAACCTTTAGGTAATAATACATTATTTTGTATAGATTATTGTTAATTATTTAACTACGATTTAAAACGTGAACAGAGATAGTGTGTAAGCATATTTATTTAAGGGTCTAATAAGAAAGCGATAAAAAGTTAGGACTTACACTTCGAAAAGGAACCGCAAAAGGCGACTGTTTATATCTATTAGTATAAAAAAAAAACTACAATTTCACTTCTTTGTGACCCAAATATTAGTATTCACAATCACCGAATTAAATTTACGAATAGACTATCGGCCGATATCCGCGGCCTATCAATAGTTTTATCGAAGTTATGTTGCCAAGAAACTAAGATATGAACCGTTTATTTGAAAAGTGGTGTAAGTCCATTTTCTTTTGTTTCGAGAAAATTAAAGGTTTACTATATTTGTTGATTTAAAAATATAGGCAAATCATATGAGGTCTGGCTATGCCACCTACCTCTGTCAATTAGACTTACACCACTTTCATAATCGACGATTATGCAATTTCATTTACCGACCGATTTTAATTTGTACAAAACATGGTATTTTTTTGAGAAATTAAACACGGACTAGTTATATATACAAAAATTACATTAAATTAAGCATGAATTACGTGATAACTGATTTTTCTCAAAAATGGACTTACACCACTTTCAAAATAAACGGTCCATATGTTTTGTTTCAACACAAATTGACATGTACAATATGATCTACGTGATCTTTTCAATCCGATTAATTCAATGATAAGCAGTTCTCATTTTCATTCTATTCCTCGAACTTTTCTAGCTTAATCATACAATAAGATTGGCGATAGTGTACCGTTTCAACATAAGACACCTTAGCAACACACATAAGATAACACATAGACATGCCATCAATATCGGCAGTAAATAACCAATTAAGCCTAGGCACTTACGGCAAAAATTTTGGCATACGTTTTGAATTTTTTCAACTCCAACTATATATATACTTTTAAGAAAAATCTGAGTCGTATCTTGTGTCGTGAAAAGGTACGTTATTTAGAAAAAAAAGTTACCTATAATATCTTATTTATATATAAGAAATAATGAACAACAACTTTAATGTGGTACATATTATGTATGTGAGATTAATTCTTTGTAATGCTCTTTTCGTTTCTCTGCGATCATAATAATAGTTAGTAGGCCTAATATTAAGTGTATTATCTATGGTAGGCTTTAAGCTAATGACGCAAATATATGTAATACTTTTTTTTATTGCTTAGTTGGGTGAACGAGCTCACAGCCCACCTGGTATTAAGTGGTTACTGGACCCATAGGCATCTACAACGTAAATGCCGCCACCCACCTTGAGATATGAGTTCTAAGGTCTCGTAAAGTTACAACGGCTGCCCCACTCTTCAAATCGAAACGCATTACTGCTTCACGGCAGAAATACGAATCTATAGTTATATTATTATTAATATTGAATGTATTTTGCTGTTTATCTTTTCATAACGTTTCCGCTCAGTTGTAATGTTGTGTCCATGTCTGGAATTCGTAAGAAAAATATGCTAATGTTGAAATAAAAAAAAACATGCAATTATCAGAGATGAAATTCAACGGTGCTACAACCCAGATTGACTAAAAATAACTCATAAACACATTATAGACACGGTTAGGTGAAAAGTAATGAATCGATTCTATTATAGAAAATCCGCGCAATGAATAAATCTAAGTAATTGTCAAACATTCCTCGAAATGGAATTGTTTGTAATAATAGTGCCATTTCAGCACACTTCAGATACACTATACTGAGTTTGACGGGGTCATTTTTACAAGCGAAAGAAGATTAATTCATTGTGATGTATATGTGTGAGTGGAACTATGTGAGACTTCGTTTAACCCACAGACACAGCCCACTGAGTTTCTCGCCGGATCTTCTCAGTGGGTCGTGTTTCCGGTCCGGTGGCGGTGGTAGTCTTGCTAGGGCCAGTGTTAACAACACTCGCGGTTTGAGCCCCATTAGCTCACCTACACGTCAAGTTGAAGCTGAAATAGCCTCTCAAGGCTACCAGCATAGGTAGGAGGGAAAAAGGGGTCATTTTTGCTACCTACCCTCAGGATTCGGAAATAAAATAACATTCTATTGCTCGAGAATAGTCCTTTGTGATGTCTATGAATGAGTGGAACGTCTGCCACCGATGAAGATATGTAAGTGTATCTGAGACTTCGTGCTATATCCTTGGGACGCTTTATAAAAATACGGCCATAGCATACATAAAAAAAGGAATTTTCCTGAATAATTAATTGAAAGCATTAAAGTTGTTGTCCATTAGACTGTTCACTTAAAACTAATTTAGAAATTGTTTGATACTATTATAATTAACGCTCCTGACTGATTTCTGGGTGTTACTTCGGCTGTAAACTTACTGATCAGAGAAAAAGCGAAACCTGTTAACTGATTCGGACTAATAGAGGTGAATCTCTATCAATCAGAGGTAAATTTTCCAGTAGTCATATTCAAATATTTTTCTATTATTGTTTTGGACATGTTTTGGACGATTGAAATATAATAAAATTAGATTTAGCCCATGCTTTCATGGCGCTGTTGAAATTGAATTCGATTGGCAAAGCCACTAGCGCGTCCAAACGTATAGATAATTATATGAATATGCATAGATATGCAACCCGAAAAGTTAAAATTCTACAGCCATTTTACAACATACAGAATCAGTCTGTCAATATTACATACCCTTAACGGGATCCCGAATTCCAATAGTCCCGAGAAATTATCCCGCAAAATCGAGAATCGACATCGAATTAATAAAATCGATAAAAAAAGGGACGACGAATATATCCCTATTTGGTTCGGCGCGAAGCAAACTTATACTAGGTAATTATTTTATTTATGTATTGACTTAATGTCACAGCACACATTGTAATAACGCGTTTAGAAATGCTCCTAGGAAATGATTTATTGCAGTTTCTAATTGCCCGAGATCTGACTGACTTAAGCGTGTTATTAAAAGAACAAGTTACAAAAAAAAAAACTAAGAACTACCGAACGACAAAATATTACGTAAATGGTATCCGCTAACAGAGCTTTGGAATTCTTATCATTGTTCCTTTCTGTCTGATATCGAGCTGTGTTGTTGTAAATATTAAAATATTATTTCTATTTTAATGCTTAAATATTTATAAAATCTGTTCTGTCAGTAACAATTATTGAGTGTACAATAATACCTGTTGATATGGTTTTTTTTATGTAGTGGTTGAATATTACACAATTATTAATAGGTTTATTTATTTTCCAAGTTTCTTTTAATGGTTTCTTTTTTTTCTGTTATAACTACAAGTCTATCTTTTGACAATTATGAGGGAATGAACTGTGTTAATCACTGCAACACATAGAAGTTTCTTAATTATTATTAGTTGTTCTCAATAATGTAAATTTCATTCTTTGCATGAACTTTTAAGCTATGCAAGTCAGAATAAAAACGGCTGTAATTCATTGGTGTTGAAATTGATCCTTCTATTTAAGGTGTTGCTTATGTAGCAGTATCCTAAGTCTAGAATAACACTAATACATCTCATCCTATAGGTGTCATAAAAATGATTAAGGGATTCAATAGAAAATGCGTTCTCCAAGCTCAATACTAAAGTACTACAATTGTCAGATAGGATTCACACTAATAATTTATATTGTATGTTCTATGTTTTATTTTTTTATTGCCCTTGTAGGCAGACGAGCACACTGCCCACCTGATGGTGAGTGGTTACCGTCGCCCATGGACTTTACCAATGCCAAGGGCAGAGCCAAGCCGCTGCCTGCAAAAGCCGCTGTCTGCATGTTAAAGGTCAAAAATAAAATCTAGACATTAAGTACCATTTCATAATAAGTTGCAAGATTTTCTTAAACGCCGAATTTCCTAATAGCATTTCCGAACGCTTTCACTAATACAGAATGCATAGAACCGAGAAAACCGAAAACCGAATTTTTATACGCAATCGGTTTTCCTTACGGTCCGATTATTTATTCTTAAATAGTGATATTGGTCGTTTATCGTGCCCACGGCACTGACAAATCTAGATAATACTCAATATGTCAAAATCGAGGTAACTTTTTACATGGACGTTATAATAATAAAGTAAACACACAAAAAAACCAAAACTAAAATGTACTTATGCCTTCAGTAAAAATGCTTTTGAGTTCGTATGGCAAAAAATAATTGAAACATTTCGTTCTTTATATTTCAACACAAAAAGCGAATCAATTAATTACTTATTCTCCTCTTAAATAAAACGTGAAACGCAATCTCAGTTTGATAAATGAAATAACACGGAAAAAAAATATAACTCAGAAACAATATGATATGTTAATTCTTTGTTGGGAAAATTAAAATCGTTAGCAGCTGATCAAGCGTTCCACGTGTACCCCAATTTTACCAAAAATAACTGAACAACAAACTGAAGAACTTGTATTGGATGAAGGTCGAAGCTATGAAGAACGAATGCAGGATCAGGTATCGAAGATTGTCCTGCCGTACTTGTCTGACCACAGATCCCGACGGGTTTCCCTTGCTGGGAAACTTTCCGGTTTTGTAAAACTCCTCCAGCATTTTCTCCTTTTCTATGAACCTGTCGTATAGCCACTGGGTCATACCCTCAGTGTCTGTTGGCACCTGTTGAAGAACATGAGAAGACTGATATAATTAGAGCTAGGCAGCGATATTAAACCCAATTCTGCATTGCGGTTCGACCACACAAATTATTTACATCCAAGGAAGTCTTGGCCAAAAAAATATATATTAAGTGACCAACTGAGATAAGCAGCCAATCGTTTTAATTAGGGATGTTAATTAAGAACCAAAAGTCTACAAGAAAGCTTTAGGCTTGTTGCATCTAAGGTTCAACCAATGTTTACGATGGACAATCTTTGTCGCGGCGCCTGACGCGTTTAGCACAGCAAGCTAGCCAAAACATTTACTACTACCGGCACCGCGCGCTGACAGCATTCAACAACAGTCTGAAGATAACTCCCAATAATCATTACTGACACAAGACCTTCCTTTTTTCGAGAAAGGTCACATTCCAAGATTCATCGACGAACAATCACAACCAAACCATTGTAAATTATAATTAAAGAAAGTAGCAAGAATGCAATTGGTTTTATTATAGAAGCAATAAAGCCACAGTGTCTCGCGTAGACAATCTTCTTTATATGGCACTTAAAATTGAAGAATGATGAGCAAAGTACGAGAAAGAAAGCGAATAATTCAATTATCGCGTGGTGAGTAGAATATTTCGGACACCGAATCTCAAACCGACAAGTTTACGTATTATTCCCTTACCTCAGTACTAGGATAGAGTCTGTAATGAAGATGTGTGGTGCAAGGTGGTCTGGTCCCGCATACGACATCCTGAAGATGGATGGGTATTCGATCAGGGTAAGCGATGGTCACATCAAGGATCCATTCGATGGTGTCGCCCACATTGTTGTCCACTATCATCTTATGTTTGCTTTGGTTAAAGTTGTCATCTGTTGGAATAATGCATTTAGTTATGTTTCATTTCTAAATTTTAAGTAGAATTGAACGATTATTATTCCTATCTTAGTTGAAAAAACACATTGCCATAGGTTTGTAGAACCTCTTGAGAGTCCGCGCGGGTAGGTACCACCACCCTGCCTATTTCTGCCGTGAGGCAATAATGCGTTTCGGTTTGAAGGGTGGGGCAGCCGTTGTAACTATACTTGAAACCTTAGAGCTTATATCTCAAGGTGGGCGGCGCATTTACGTTGTAGATGTCTATAGGCTCCAGTAACCACTTAACACCAGGTGGGCTGTGAGATCGTCCACCCATCTAAGCAATAAAAAAAACCATAGAGTGCATTTCAAGCCACAATTTGACTAGCAATATATTAAAAAATATATATATCTTAATCAAATACTACGTATTGGATTGATTTAAAATTAAGTAGAAGATTTACCTTTCCGCGATTCGTCCTTAGAAGTACCAGCGCCTTCATTCCTCCTTGGTCCTATTTCTTCCATGATCACCTTCATGGCTCCAACTCGGGGTAATGATACGTATTCTAGTTTCGGCAAGTTATTCTTCTCGGCAAACCTAAATATAGATTTGTATTAAACTATTTAATTTTCTCTAGATGGATGCAGGCAAATATACAGATGGTTAGATGTTGTATGCTAATGATCATCAGCTTCTAAAGATACAGGCCTAACTGTCTCCCTGTCTTTTTCTTCTTATTGCTCATATATGTAGACATTACGTGGGATCGACGCAGCATTACCTACCTCTTGTCATGCGGTCTGACGCCTGACGTCAACTCTCCCAGGGTTATATCCCGAGTAGTATCTTGGTAATATTGCAACGTACCACAGGTAGACTTTTCCAGTTTCTACTTTTGGTGTCTCTTTTACGTCATCCGTTTTTTTTATGTTTTAATTTGCCTTCTATTATCATAAACATTTGCACAAAAAAATATTTTCGAATACTAAAAAGTTAAAAATATCATTCCTAATATGTATTCTCTGTATTTCCACGATAGTCAAGATGACATTACCGAAGTGCCTTTTCCATGAACATATTATATTCATTGTTTGTGGCCCTTTTAAACTATATTTATCGCATCCATAAAATTACGTATCATCTAATAATGACAAACATTGCAGGCAACTTCAAACCAGTCACTAAGAAAATTGAAACTTTGCTCTTAGATCGCAATATGGGCGGCCATTGTGATTTTGGACTACCACAACAGCTTCATTTCAGAGGAGTCATGAGTAACTTATGTTTACTTTGGCATACCAAATAAACAGCACGTTTCTACACCGCCACACTAGGTAACGAAAAGAAAACGACTGACCTTTGACTGACTTCCCTTCTCTTATGCAAGAATCCACCTTCCGGAAAGAGCACCATGAACTGCCTGCTGAGAGGCATGTAGAATTTGTGGATATGCTGCCGAAGTTCCTCCAACGACTGATCTCTCTTCGCTTTACCCTGCAGTTATAAAAAGGGACATAAATATCTTCATCAGCTCATAAAGGACAAACCTCATTAAGTTCCTAGGGTGACGTTAAAAATCTCGATAGAGGTTGTAAAGAGACCTTTTTCTAAGCTGGAATGCTCACAATCTATTGTCTTATTGAGCTAAACAAATCACTTGAATAAACAACCGAAGATATGGCCTGCTGTTCCTTATATTAGATCCAGCCCGACTATTATAACTTTTTAAACCAGTTACATTATTGTTCAGATATCACCTTGGGAAAATGACTTTTGGGAACGCGGTGTCGTGATTTCCTTTTCACGAACAGTTCGAATTAGCTCTGTTTTATCTTTAAAAAAATATATGGGGACTTCGTCAGACGAGAATTTTGTTTAACAATAATGTTTATCTGGTTATTTGTGTGCTAAACCTTCGCTATATCCCCTTGATTTTGTCAAAGACTTCTCTAGATTTACAGTCTAACTATGCAACCTAGGCATTTACTATCGTAATTCATGCACAGCCTTGTGTGAAGCATGGATATCAGAGAATTTTCCAAACACTAGAACGTGCCGGAGCACGAATCTGCGATATTCACTTAATTAATCTCCATACTTTGATCAGATCAAACAAAATCTGAATTTAAATGTCAGCCAATCTGCTGAGTGGCTTCAAAAGATCCGGCTCAGCGATTAATCTCATTCATCGACATCGATAGAGTTATCGATCGCTGCGCTTAGTCTCAAAAGTATTTTTTTTTCTTTTCCTACCTATGCTAATAGCCTTTCCTCGTCGAACCCGTCGCTCGCGACGAAGGGCTCGACGAGCGAATTAACCCAACCCACTGAGTTTCTTGCCGGATCTTCTCAGTGGGTCGCGTTTCCGATCCGGTGGTAGATTCTGCGAAGCACTGCTCTTGCTAGGGTCAGTATTAGCATCACTCCGGTTTGAGCCCTGTGAGCTCACCTACTAGTTAAGGTTACGCTGAAATAGCCTCTCAAGGCTATCAGATTAGCTAGGACAAATAAAAAAGAGAAACTCAGTGGGCTAAAGTACATACAGTCAAAATCTGTTATAACGACATCGAAGGGACTGCTCATATTCAGTCGTAAAAACCGATAGTCGTAACAACCGGTGATGTTTAATGTGTATCGTGCAAGTACAAACAAATCGATAGGGAATTATTTGAAAAATATATTTACATAATACGCGATTTTTCTTCAATATTAAATTGTTTTCTTTTTCTTTGCGACATTTTGAAAATTTCACAAAAACTAACTGAAGAGATATTAAGAAGCGGACTTTGACTCTACCGCATGCACGTGTTTTGTTTCTAAGAAATAGAAAAGACCCTACACTAAACTAAATCCCATTGTTTTCTTTCCTGATTTTAATAGCCATTGAAGACAGATGTGAATACCTATTCAAATTGTTTACAATACAACTTACCCGGTCGTTCTAACAGATCTAATACTCCGAAATATTAGTTAAATGTGGTCGTTTTATCAGGTATGTCGTTATAAGCAATGTCGTATAAAGCAATGTTTTTAATAAGGCGGTCATATAGCATTCAGCCGGGACCTTTGTTCATGGTTATTATAACCGGTATGTTGTTCTAAACGATGTCGCAGTAAACGGTTTTGACTGTATCAACATTTAGACAGGTACGAGCATAGAAACGTTTATTACTTCTTCCTTAAGCTGCGTAATTGGTATTAGTTGCGCGATCTCACGTACCACGGGTCAAGGTTCAATTCTTTACTAACAATAAACTAATACTATTAACTCAATTGACTGCTATGTTTGAACGCGATAGAATACTAAAGATATTTTTGTTGTTTTTGCAATGTAATTTTAGTGAAGTGAAACTTTTTTTAAGTACATCGTCTCAAACTTTTTCGTCTGTGTGTTGCATGTCGCGTGACGGTCGGTGCGGAGTAGCGATAAAGTGAAAGGCGCTCGTTAGAGTAGCCAAGGCCAATATGGTGGTGCCTATATTTCGCAGCAGCTGACCGTGTAGTGTATAGACTATTACTCATTTGTGCCAGTGCTTCACGCTATTTTGTTTGTTTTTGTCAGTGTCAGTCAATGTAAATGTTGTTTGTCAGAGTTAAATGTCTATAATGTGAAAAAAAGTTTCGCTTTTACCGTGGTTTCATAAAACCACACAAGCCTTTTTTTTAATTAGGTACTAAAAATAAGCCCACCCGATATAAAGTGGTTAATTGGAGAAAAATCTGTAACTGAATGCCACCACCTGTCTTAAGGTTAAAGTCTCAATAACATTTCTGTGGCCCCACTTAATCCGGAACGCATGACGGCTACACGGTAAAAATAGGCACGATACCATCACCTACCCGGGCGGACTCACAAGACGCTCTTACACCAGTCTAGTAATTCGATTACATAGTATATAATGCACAATAGTAATTAAAGACATGAGTGGATGAAGGGGTTCAGTATGATTTTTAAGATTTTTGAGTTTTACATTGAATGAAGGTGTTACGTGCCTATAAACCATATTAGACCTCAAAACTCTGGGTTTAAGGCTATTTTATGAAATTGCATGTGATGAAGGAGTTGTGTACGAAGAAAAGGTACGAGTAACAAAAGTTTGATGTTCGTTTTCTCAAAATTAACAAATTGTATCATATGCCCTTCATCCACTCATGTCTTCAATTAAAGTGATAATTTTATTGGTACTCGTATCCTTAGAATCCCATTGAACAGTAAAATATTATTATTATTTTTTATATTTTTTTTATTGCTTAGACGGATGGACGAGCTCACAGCCCACCTGGTGTTAAGTGGTTACTGGAACCCATAGAAATCTACAACGTAAATGCGCCACCCACCTTGAGATATAAGCTCTAAGTTCTCAGTAGAGTTACAACGGCTGCCTCACCTTTCAAACCGAAACGCATTACTACTTCACGGCAGAAATAGACGGGGTGGTGGTACCTACCCGCGCAGACTCACAAAAGGTCCTACTATCAGTAAATCTCTGTCCTATACCTGTACCTTTTCGTGATTGGTACATTGATTTAGGGATTCACCACTGCATCCATTGCATGTTCGCAAAGTCTCACAAATTTAAACAAATATAGTTTCAAGCAAAGCTTACATACTTAAGTCACGTACTTAAACTAAGTATGTAAAAGTATGTAGGAAATAAATCTAGATTTTTTTATTAGATTTCGAAAGATTTATTCTAGTTTTTGTACTGAACCGTGAGCGCTCACATCAAAGTATAAAACGTTCAGATGTTGAGGTTATGTGATTACGATTTCTTTGACCACAAAACTAGACTTATAGAGAAGGTTCACTTTGACATAGCGTCTTGAGTTGTAATTCCGAAGTCTTCTAATTCGTACGATGGTGTTATTCTATTGTTCAAGCAACAACGCGTGATTGTGTGCATGTATTAGTCAGAATAATGGTACCTATAGGCTAATCATAAACTTAACTCATAATGTAACTCAATTGTGTTAATGAGTAATCTCTTCACGGGAGTCGGGTTGTCATTGCCATCCATATGTAGCCGATTAATTTGCCAATAAAAGAACCTATGAAAATTATTAAATAAAAGAAAATAAAAGTGAAACTGAGCTCAACGAAGTCCTCAGGAAAATTTGTGCACGCAAAACTAGTTTGTAAGCTAGATATAATTAGAACGAAGTTCCTTATGGGACGATGCGGAAGGGTACCCTAACCGGGAAAAAACGTCCATAACGTAAGGTTTTTATTAGTACTACATACAGTGTACGACTTAACTTTGTAATAACGTACAAATTAGTAATGCACACAGTGTACGGCTTAACTTTGTACTAAGGTAAAATATTTTTTTATCATTACTAATTGATCACGATCTCAGAGCGTTCGTTTGCGCAATACACTAGCTCTTATGAAAACAACTGTAAATGAAGTGTACCACAATAAGTTCGCACGTTACCGAATGATCGTGGGTTGTTGCGAAACCTCCAGTTTATACAGCTTAAAATTAATATTTTTATAATAAGGAACTTCATTCCTATCCGGTGTCCCACGACGCCACACATCTTTTTTTTTTGTTATTTTCTTGACCTGACCTACTGTAGTGTATTTATTTTGTGTAGCACTCGCGGACTGTCCTTCCCACGGGTTCAGTGAACCGTTCCAAGTAAGGAACATATCCGTGGAGCGATCCAATCAGGAACGATGGCCGGGTCTTTTGTACAACGCTAAGTTAACGACTTACGTGTTGCGTTAGGGTTTGCCATTGGTATCGACACATCTCTAAAGGGATTAGTTAGTAGTAGTTGGATGGGTCATTTAACTCGATCATTACATGGTTCACGTGATTAGTGATAAGAAACAGTTTTCTAATATCTTTAGCTCACAGCGATACATAATACCGAAGTGTTGAAATAATAACTACCCTATCTTTCACAGCGAAACGCACGACTGCTTTATCAACAATTTAAATTCACGAAAATGTAATTAATGTTTAATTAAAACTCCTTTAAAAATAATATACCGTGATGACAAGAGTTACTGTTAATTTACTTTACTGATACATCATAAATATTCTAAACTAGCTGACCTGGCAGACTTCGTAGTGCCTCAATCGATAAATAAAAGACCGACTGGGGACACATCAAAGGAAAAACAAAATTGTTATTTTTATTTAATTCCGAGCATTTTCATATTTGTCTACCTTTTAAACCTTCTCTGGACTTCCACAAATAATTCAAGATCAAAATTAGCCAAATCGGTTCAGCCGTTCTCGAGTTTTAGCGAGACTAACGAACAGCAATTCATTTTTATATATAGAGATTAAACTATCACAATATCATTTGTAATGTAATGTGAAATCACTCAGAGTGAGTTAAGAATCCTTTGCGAAGAACTTGATAGCAGGTTTTTTACATACGAACTCTTATCATCATGTAGACTGTTAACTCGTTCGCACACGGCAATTAAAGTCGAACACCAAGGACATAAGTTTAGTTATAATTTTGAAGTTTTTTTTAATTCTATAA